CGCAGAATACAGCATCAGTCCTTTTATTTTCTAAAATCATGGCGTGCTGCTCGGCCAAAGATATTAATAAAGTCTCCTCCGCGCTGGTAAAGTTTGGAAGGCGACTTTTTCTTATATTTGAATCCATTTTTGTTATTGTCCACAAAACACCAAGCTATTCCTGCGAGATTCTTTAAATTGTTAAAGTGCGTCCATTTTCTATACGACCATGTAAAATGAATCCAAAAGTGATGTGATATTTGAAGGAACATGTGGGTTATCATATAGCCTATTCCCGTACTCCAGGATTTGCAAGTTTTACAGGAAGGTTTCCGTCCGCCACGTTCATACAAGTTGTATTAAAGGCGGAAACAGCTTTTCCTGTAAAACCTGCAAATCCTGGTTACGGGAATAGGCTAATAATTAACGAGCTGGTACACAAATTGGTAAGCACAATATCTATAACACAATTGTCAATTGTTTAAAACAATTTTAAAACAAGAAAACTGCAAACAAAAACCACACAAAAACAAAAATCAGCTGTGTAGTCTGCTTTTGTCGATTCACAATGCAACTTTTGTGAACTCTTTATGAAAAAATTCACAATGATCGACATAATCGGAGGTAAGCTAATCGGACCTTGGTGAAAACGAAATTGTCAATTAAAGATATCAGTGATTAACCAATCGCTGATTAAAAATAATTTAATCAGTCTTTAAGAAACCGGCCCTTAATATATCTGACACATGAACCAAAACCGAACCAAAATTAAGGCCCTTCCCCGCAAACATATTCTGAGCGCTCAGAATATATGAGTCGGAAAGGAGTCCTAGGTAAGTAAGAAATATGAGTTTCAAAAACAAACATTTTTTTACTCTTATATGAATCTTTTAGGAGTCATATATGATCCAAGTTATGAGCCAGCACTTTGTGCCAGTATAAAAACAATAACGACTAGAAATTTATATCTAAACTTGTTTATACAGATATGAAAAATAATTAGGAAGGAAAAATAAACAAAATTTAGATGCAGCAACTTCTATTTCATGAATGCTGCAATATATGAACATATGTATATATGTATGCGCAGAGGTTTGTATATAAATATGCAACAGTATTTGAAATGAATTCCTTGCTAACATGGCTCTAAAGTAAGTTCATTAAGAGAGTTGAAGAATAAAGCCAATAAGAGCCACAGAACAGCATACAAGGAGCTCCGAAAGTAGGCATTTATGAGGCCAATAAGAGTCATTTAAGAGCTTCAAAAAGAGTCCAAAATTAGCCGTATATGAGGCCAATAAGAGTCCAATATGACTCATATTGAGGCTCATTTGATGTATGAATTTAAGCTCATATAGGACGACCTTCGCAGGAAGGGAAACACCCTCATTTCGGACTCTTAAATGAGCTCATAATGAGCAAAAGGCTCCGAAATGGGACTCCTTAAAGACTCATTTATGACTCCAAATGTTTGCTGGGTTATTATGAGTTGCATTCGATTTTCGATCTTCGCTGGTTATCGAAGATCGAAAGTGAAATTCGTATTATGAGCTATGCAACCGTATCGAAATTTTCGTTGAGTATCGAATCTCAGTATATCCAGTAAACAAACTTAGCTGTTTTTTTTCACCAAATTTGGTCCCCATAAAGGACTAGTGTTGCAAGCAACGCTTTTTCGGCAATAAGGGTGTTCTGCAGCAATTCAAGGTGGTGAAAATTATTTTAGCACTAGAGAAATTGATAGGAAAATATTTCAGTGCGCTTGAACATTTATTTTATTAACACATACCCATTTTTTATTTTACTGTGTCGAAGTCGTTGCTCAAATATTTGTACTTTAGTATTTAAGTTAATTGTGAAATATATTCGTTGTGGTCCAACAGAATTAAAGAATGTTCAATTTGTTAAGAAAATCCAGTTTATTTAATTCTATATAAAATAGTAGCGTGTTCTCTAGCAAAAGTACGTAAAAAGGAAGTAAAGTAAACAAGGTAAGTGAAATAACTATAAGGTGATCCGATGTCAGTGCTGCCACCTAGCTGGAGTTGAATGAGAACATGGTTGCATCAATAAGTCTGCAATCTCCGCAACATCTCTCCTTGTTAAGAAACGTCATAGTCACTCATCCATGTCGGCTTCTTTATTCGGCCCGGTCTCGCTTCGCCTGCAGTTTGCATCTCTAGCGCATTTCGGGTAGGAGATATATCTGGAACAGCTGGATCCTCTACTGCGACCCGCTCGCGATCGTCCTGTAACTGTACTGGAACCTCAAGTCGGTCATGCGTTTCTGACGATTCTGGAAGTTGCCGTGTGTCGCCATTATCTACCGCTTGTTGACTGTGCTGTGGTACTTGGTAGAGATCGAAACTGTCCCACAAGAACTTTGTAACATCCGTTGACGGTGATCCCTTTCCAGCAAATCGTTTTTTTAAGTGATATATATGCGCTCGGATTAGTCTTTTATTTACAGACAGTAAAACGTTGTAGTTTACGCCGCCAATTCTCTCGATAATGGTGCCTGGTGCCCAGCGCTTTCTGTTATTCTTATATGTTCTAACATAAACCAAATCCCCTGCTGCCAGGTGTCTTGGCTTCGCGGCGTGCTTCGTATTAAATTGTTGCTCTTGCTTTGCGTTCCTTTGCGGTTGACGCTGAAACTCCGGTGGGTTTAACAAGTTCAACGATGTTTTAATTTTTCTTTTTAAGAATGCTTGTGCTGGTGTTTCACCATTCGGTACATTCGTGGTTGGAGTGGACCGGTACGTTTGTAGAAATGTTTGTAAGTTCTCTACACTCGTTCCCTCGCTTTTAAGCTTAGTTAGCGCCCTCTTTAGAGTATCCACGAACCGTTCTGCCTGTCCGTTGGATTGTGGGTGATATGGGTCTGTTCAGACGTGATTCAGTCCTCGCATCTTCAAAAGTTGTTGGAATTGTGCGCTCGCAAATTGTGTTCCAATGTCAGATACGATGGTTTCACAGTTACCTTGCAAATGTCTCATCCAATTTTTCTATAATCACTGATGAGGTTATGCTAGCGGTTTGAAAAATCTCTGGCCATTTAGAGTAGGCAAAAATTATCACGAAGTAGTAGTCTCCATTGCTGGGTCCAGCGATATCTACGTGCAATCGCTCCATAGGCCTTGCTGCCAGCGGCCATGAGTGAAGTGTAGATTTTATAGGCGATTTCGCTGCCATCGCACATGGTTGACAATTTCGTACGAACTACACGATTTCTTCGTCTATGCCAGGCCAAAAAACATGCCTTCTCGCTATAGATTGCATTCTCTCCTTTCCAGGGTGTCCCCGATGTAATTGGCATAAATCGCGTTTTCGCGGACAATCTGGGATAATAATCCGCTCTCCGAAAAGTAGACATCCTCTCACTGCACTCAAAGAATCTTTGCGTCTATGATAAGGAAGTAGATCGTACGGCACATTCGCTGGCCATCCAGACTTCAATGCTTTCAAAACTGCTTCTAGTTGCTTACATTTGCTTGTAGCTTTTAGTACCATACTAAACGTGACTGGAAGTTTCCTGATTTGGTCGTTGACTTCGGCCAATATCTCTTGTTCCAGTTGCGTGCATGCTATGACCATATCTTCATGCTCATTTTTATCCATCAGCCTGGATAGAGTATCCACGCACCCAAAATTTTTCGTATTAACGTACTGTAGTTCATAATCATACCGCATGAGGATAAGTGCCCACCTCTGTAGTCTATTTGCAGTATGTGCGGGAATACCCTTTTTACTACCAAAGATGGATAGTAATGGCTTGTGATCTGTCCACAATATAAATCTTCGTCCGAAAATATATCTATGAAACAGCGCCTCCTCAATCTGAGAATATTTCTGCTCGGTTGAACTTAATGTACATGCTGCGTGCGCAATAACTCTTTCGGTACTATCTGGCTTGATGTGACAAATGAAAGCTCCAATGCCTTTGCCCGACGCATCTGCTGCCACTTTTATGGGAAGATCCGGATTATAATGCGTGAGCAGTAAGTCGGACTGCAAAATGCTTTTGAACTTCTCGAAAGCTTGTTGACATTGCGATGTCCATACAAAGTTCATATTATCATGAAGTAGTGCGTCCAGAGGTGCCCTCACACTGCTCATGCTGCGATCGAATTTCCCGTAATAATTTACGCTACCCAAAAATGCTCGTAGTTCTGAAATGTTTGTAGGCGGTGGCATCTTCAGTATTGCGCTGATTTTATCTGGATCTGGACGTAGTCCACACTGTGAAACAATATTGCCCAAATATTTAACCTCCGCCGCGTAAAATTTACATTTTTCCAACTTTACGTGAAAGTTGTACTCTCTTAGTCTTTGCAAGACCTTGAATAAATTTTGTAGATGGTTTTCCCATGTAGAGCCCCCAACGATTATATCATCTATATACGCTGCAGTAGCATCTATGTTCGCTAACATAGTATCCATTTTTTGTTGGAACGCACCTGGTGCGCTTTTGACCCCTGGTGCAAGTCGGTTGAATGCGAATAAACCCTTATACGTATTTATAGTTAGCAACTTCGCTGCCTCCGATGTGACTGCCGTCTGTAAATATGCATCTGCCAAATCTATATGCGAAAAACAATGACTGTTGGCAATTTTAGCATATATATCTTCCGCCGTGGTTGTAGTGCTGAATTTAACCCAGATGAGTAGTCACCACAGATTCGTACTCCGCCTGTTGCTTTTCTAACAGCTACAATCGGCGCTGCCCAGTCGGAAAATTCTATTGGTGTTATGATTCCAAGGTTCTCGAGTCTATTCAATTCTGCTTCTATTAGAGATTGTACAGCGTACGCCACTGGTCGTTTCGCCCGAAAAATCGGTTGTACATTTGGTTTCAAATGTAGCTGAACTGCCTTGCTGCATTTGGCCGGAACAGCGCTAAAAACATCTGCATATCTTCGCTTAATGTCCGTTATAGCTGCAGATTCAATGGCCGGTATTGATTGCTTGATTTTACAACATACACTACTCAGCGGCTTGTCCCATACACCAAAAGTGTCAAAGGCATCTGTACCTAGAACATTCAAAGAATCAAACTCTGCTTCAAGAATCTTTATTAGTTTTACTTCCCCGTTAAGCTGAAGTTCACAAGGGAATTCAGCTATGAAGCGAATTTTATTCCTCGATGCACTCGTGGCGTGACTGTTAATTAACTTGACTCCTGGACTGCCCAATTTACGCCAATTCTCTTTGACAATTATCGTCACATCGGAAGCGGTATCAACCTGTAGCTTGAAGCTTTTTCCTTTCCTGCCAGCTGCAGCTGACGTTATAGGTTTGATAACCACCTCGACATATTTTCGACGTGCGGCGAAATTTACGCAATTTACTGCGTTGCTTTTCGGTCGCTGTTGGGTTTGTGTTTTACCGCTCTGGGTTCCTCCTTTCTGCGGTTTTTTTCTCTGCGCGTTGCAATAACCCTCTTTATGACCTGTGCGACTACACTGCGAACATTTGTGATTTTTGAATTCGCAATTTTCTGCGTAGTGCATTGCTCCGCGATTCCAGCATGGAGATTTTGGAACTTTATTCTGCTTCAATTTTACACCCGATACAAGCTTCTTATTTCTGGTAGTCTGAGTCTTAATAGCATTTACGTCTTTATTTGGCTGTTCGACCATCACCGTGTCTTTTTTCAGATTTAACAAACGGCCTGCCGTGCTGACTAGCTTACTCAATTTCTGATCTGAATCGTCTTCTAGACCAGCTAACAGTTTTGTACGGATCTCAGCATCATGCTTGCCTTTTAACCCAGTTACAAAAATTAAGCTCTTAAGATGGTCAGCTGTCATGTCTGCAAGCTTAGAATTTTCACAGCATGCATTTACTCGTGCCGCATATGTTACAACATCTTCTTGATCTTCTTTTGTCAATTGAAAACATTTGTATCTGAGGCTGAAAATTGACTCCTTCGATCCGAACATCTCCTTCAGAGTTTTCACTGTTTCAGTGAATGATAGGTCTCTTGGGTTTTTTGGTAACACATACGTTGCGTACTTCCCGTATGCTACAGGGTTGAGCTTCCTCATTAACAATCGAACCCGTGCTGGATCATCCAAGTCTTTGCCATCAACGATGAACACATCTTCGTGCCGTGCATACCACACATCGAACGTTAGGTTATTTTGCGGGTCGTAACAGAAATCAACAATACGACTAGCCAAATTTTCCATTAGGCTTCCTCGACCTCTTGCGCTGTCTTCAGTGAGCATTGCAAGCAATTTGCTTTGTATTTCCAATAACTCTTGGATTTTTGCGTCCGCCATTGAAATGACTTGCCAATATACATTCGGCTTTTAACAAAATGGCTGCGTCGAATGTTCTCGTCGCAAAACTCGAAATTTTGTATTGGTGTAGACTGCCTTGTCAAAAGACAGAGCAGGTAATTATTTTATTAGCAAGTATCCTTGCAACCTGCACACTCCGAATACTCGTCGCCAATTTCTGTTATGGTCCAACAGAATTAAAGAATGTTCAATTTGTTAAGAAAATCCAGTTTATTTAATTCCATATAAAATAGTAGCGTGTTCTCTAGCAAAAGTACGTAAAAAGGAAGTAAAGTAAAAAAGGTAAGTGAAATAACTATAAGTTGATCCGATGTCAGTACTGCCACCTAGCTGGAGTTGAATGAGAACATGGTTGCATTCAATAAGTCTGCAATCTCCGCAACATTATTGAATGCATAAATTAAATTATGGGAGCGATTTATTCACATGGAATTGGAAACAGGGCTGATATACTTTAAATAAATTGTGAATCTGCGAAAATATCTTTTCAGCATATGGATCTACTTCTTAACTTTTGCCGAAAATTTACATACAGGCTCGAAATTATGCCAGTAACTTTCAAATATCGTCTCTTGAATGGAAAATTTCCGTAAGCGTCATTTTGTCAGTTTTTAGTTAAAGATGCAGTTATATGTTTTAAAATAATATATTTCGATTTTTTGTTAACAGTTTTTTGGATATCTTTAGTTTCCGAGTAATTGACTAAAATTTTANACTTTCAAATATCGTCTCTTGAATGGAAAATTTCCGTAAGCGTCATTTTGTCAGTTTTTAGTTAAAGATGCAGTTATATGTTTTAAAATAATATATTTCGATTTTTTGTTAACAGTTTTTTGGATATCTTTAGTTTCCGAGTAATTGACTAAAATTTTATCGGTAATTTGGTACAAATTACGTTAGTAATGCTGTCGTACTAAACTAATCAAGATCTTCAAATAGCGTCATCTGTTTTAAATATCTGCTTTAGTTTCCGACATATTCAGCCTTATCATGAGTTTAATTTTCTCAATCCGAGTCACCTTTTCACTTTTCGTTTCCGTGTATTCACTACGGGTGGGTGAAAAAAATTCTGGCGAAACTCACGATTAGGCTGATTAGTAAAATGCATCGTTAATTAACAAAAAAAATTTAGCTTGTATATTTATCTCTCTAACGCATTAATTCTATATACGTCAAGACCAACGCCCGACGCCGTTATGTCTGTATTTAATAACGGCTCTATGACAAAATATTAAAGAAATGTGTTCGTTGATTTTTATTTACTTCATTTCATACATTAATATTGATCTGATTTTTTTAATAAGTACCAGGAGTAAATATTTAACAAAAAACTATTTCACTTAAGCTGAACCAACTTTTAGTTGCTCGGAGCTAATTTTGGAACGCTTCATAAAATATTTTCATAGTCGGAAAATGCAACCCTGGTTGCATCATTAATAATAATAATAATAGATTGGCGCTTACACATATGTTAGTGTTTGGCCGAGCTTATCCTCCGATTTGTGGTGTGCGCCTTGATGTTGTCACACAAAGCGGAGGGACCTACAGTTTTACGCCGACTCCGAACGGCGATTGTATTTTTATGAGAAGCCGTTTTTCATGGCATCATTAATGAGCTGAAAAACCAAAACAAATAATTCAATTTGTGGATTGGAGCCTTTTGAAATGGCCTTTAGAAACAGCAAAGGAATTTCGACACTATTCAAGGAATCGCGAATATAAGCTGCCTTCCGTTTGGCATATTTGCGGTTTAAACCTTCAGAAAGTTACAAAAAAAAAACATTTTCTATTTTTATTTATTATACATTTTGGAAATAAAAATACTCCAAATTGTACACCAAAAAAATTTCTTTAAACCATCTTGCGCAGCAGTTTGTTGATCTTATCTTCACGGTTACCGAAATCACCAACCTCAACGTAGTGATTAGCCCTCTTGCGCCAGCCGCCGGTTGGTGTTGAGCTTTAATGGCCAGAGGAAGTTGGAGGCTTTCTTGAAGTGGGATCCAACAGTGAATATTTCGTGCGCCAAATAACCAACGCACTGAATATCGTGTGCTTTGCGCAATTTGCGTTCGATCACAAAGTTGTCAGAGATTGAGACACGTTGATGCTTGTGCTTGACAATTCCACGTTTGTAGATCAATTCACGAACTGATTTAAGATTTGGATAACCCCATGCGATATAGGGTTCGGCAATGCGTAGCATATTAATGGTTCAATTTGATGAACAAACCGTGGTTAATATGGCGACAACGGAACAACAGTAAAACTTCACGCACTTTTGGTGCAACTTTGTTGATACCGCGGATACAGATCACAAAAGCCAATTTGTCTTCTGCAGGCACGTAGAATGGGCTGCGTTTCTTTGCCGGACGGCGCAACTTATTCTCACGGCGTCCATCACGGAGATATTTTGCTTGATATTTCTCAGCATGCACCAAGTTTTCACGTTTGCGGAGTGCAATCACAGCAGAGCGCTTTAGTTCACGCTTGACCAGGGTAGCACGTTTGCTGACCTGCTTCTTGCTAAACTTCAGCTATGCCTCGGGGACAGCAGGAAGCTTCCTGGAAGGCTGTTTGCCCTTTGCTTCGGGCTTCTTACCGGCCGTGGTGGCAGTCATCTTAACTTGTAACTTAAGACGTTGCGAAGATAAAAAAAAATTCGCCAAATGTTTGGAGCATATCTTAAATAACTCGATTTATAATATTTCTATTAAGAACATTTAATTAAATGCTTTTATAATACATAAGATATGCTGCTACTTTCCCAAATTCCATCTTGCTTATCGGCATAATTTTCCAAATGTGCCTGCGCTGCTACTTCATACTAATAACTTCATTTTCAAACTGCGCCTTCTTTGTTGCTTCAACATATCCTAAAAATACATAAAATTTACATTAAACAATAGAAATCGCAAAAATTAGCAAATAAAATACTCCCTTCATTTTGTTTTGTTGCCAAATTTCTGAGAAATGTGAATTCACCACGATGCAATACAGAAAGATCAAGGACCAGGGATGTAACTTTAAGTAAACCTAATATTCAGTGGCAATGCGCAGAGCGTTCCGAGTAGCAAAATTAATTTGTATCAAATATAACATTAAACGGTGGTTATAATACACTTTTTAATATTATTAATCAGAGTACACAGATTATATGGTATTTCTTTCAAAAATTAATGCACTATATGTATATTTTTTTGATGTTTCTTAAGATTCTTTCATTGGTGCTGAAAAGCAACCATGCGTGTAAGAAATTGTGTGCTACCTAAAATTTCACCTCTGGAAACTTTATCCCCATAAAGGACTTCACCACAGTTTTTTTTACTGGATATACTGAGTATCGATTCTTGTGCGTACGGTTCAAATCGCAGCTCACAACGTGCGGATATTTATATCCACGTATCCTCTGGGTAGCAACCAAACACCCATTTGGGAGCGAGCTAAAGTGAGAAGGCGTAAGCGTGCGCTGGGTTTGGGTCCCGCCACGTTAAAACCCCGCCCAATGAAAAGAGAAAAACAGCCTCGGATGAGACCCCCTTTTTCTGATGACGACCACGGCAAACGTATAAAGGACTATGATTTAAGGGTATGCACCTGGAATATCCGGACCCTTAATGGGGAAGGTGCCTCTGCCCGGCTGGTT